GCAGGAAAATAAATGTTTAGAAGCCTTTTCAGCTACTAGGGAGTACTCATAGCTGATTAGCTTGAGGAACTGCTATCTGAAGAGCAGAAGGTAAGAGAGAGAGAATGATTTTTCCTAAGGATTATGTCCTAAAGCAGATCTTTAAAGATTAACTTCAAACTCAACCCAGTACAAGGCACATTGCGCAAGGTGCCAGTTTGGGAGAACAGGCAACACAGGCACTGTAACATGGATACATTTTTTTTATTTTTTATTTTTTTTAAGGAACGTCTTCATTTCTTTTTTTGGGGGTTGTTGAGAATAAACTTTTCAGGGACATAAGGTGTCTTGTTGGTTTTTTTTTCCTTGCATTCTCATTTGCTTGTGAATGCCTTGGGACCTCTTCTTTTGATGGTTTCACTGGTAGAAAACTGAGTTGTATGAACTTGTGGGCCATTCCATGCTGCTACAGAAACAGACATGGAGAGAAGGATTTGCTTTTGTAATATGCTTTATTCTGTATTTTTATGTTTGTGGAATACAGAGAGAAGTAACGTGGAAAAGTGGATTTTATGAGAGTTTCAGAGTCCCAGTAGGCTGTAGACAGCCTTAGTCCGTCCTATGTAAGTGAACTAGAGGAGTCTCCGGCTTTCTCCTGTTTTTCCCCAGCATGGCATATAAATGAGGGCTGCCATCCATGCTACCATGCTATCTCTTGCTCATATCCTTGGAAGTCAGGGAGGATCAAAGGATATGCAGCAGAAATCAGTATCGTTTTCATAAGTGCTATTTCATGGCAGTTTTAGTCTTCTGACTTGATTGACATCTGGAAAACCAGTTCCCTGCCTCTTTGCTTCTGCTGTCCTTTTCTGGTCATTGGGCACAGCACATACAGCTCTCTTTGATGCTCTCCCAGGCCTGTGAAGGCAATTGCTGGCCTTGTTCTGTCAGACGTGCCTTAGACCATGCAGCTCTTTGGTAGGGTGATGCTGACAGAAAGTAAATAGCAGCTCATTTTGCATTTTTTTTATCTGTATACTGCATAGTTCAGCCACATAGAGACTATGAAGGTCATTCTTCTTCAGCTAAACACGTTTTTATGTTCTGTTTACCTGGCCAGAATGAAATTTCTCTGTCTTATGGAAAAATTTCTCTAAGTCAGACTCTCACATTGACTTTCCTACAACAGACTGAGACTACACTAGTAGTCTTACTTTTTCTTATCACACACTGAATCTCAGGCAGAGAAACCCATGACTTTGCAATCCACATTAATGCTGCTTGCAAAAGACCTACAAGTTGCTGAAGGGTTATCTGTGAATCTTTCTAAATATTGAGCCTGACCTGCTACGAGTTACCTATTCCACTCTTTATTTGAATTTTTTAATTTAATTCTCACAAACTTTGGGTACTTGTGACCACAGACTGTATTCATAGGTGCATCATCCATCATTATGAAGGCAGCAGTTCTAAAAGAAAACACTTTTTTTTTTCAAGACAAAGAAACAACTTTGATAATGTTTTTCACAATTTCTTCTGAACTTAATGCTTATTTCCTCATTAACAACAGAACTCCTTTCTAATGTTTCTAACTGGATATGTAGTATCAACATTAACATCTATAGACAGTATGCAGGGAGTATAGCAGTCAGTTTTTAGGTTTAACTTTGCGTCTAGAAAAAAAAATTATTTTGATTTTGATTTCCCATTGAATTTTGCAGAAAAAAAACCCCCAACCCTGTTGAAAATCAATACTGAAGTAGAGAATGGACAAAAAAAGAGTGTTTTTGTAGCTTTAAAGAGAGAGTAAATGATAAAATGACAAGTGTTTGATTTTGGAAATTGCTTTCTGCTTAAAACTTGGCTTATCTCTGCTGTTCATCCCTTCCTCATGCTGAGAGCACTTTTATCACTAAATGGCATTAATATCATTTCTGTGTCAGTCTGAAATGTAAGCATATAGAAGAGTAGATAGTGGCCAGTGTGTACCCATTTAGAGATTAACAAATTCTCTTTAATTGTTAATTGTTAAAAATCCTGTCATGTTTACAATAGGGAGCTCACAAATAAAGTAGATGAAGGTGCCAAGGGAGCTGGTGGGGGTGATTGCTGAGCCGCTCTCGGCCATCTACCAGGGCTCCTGGTTATCTGGAGAGGTCCCAGAGAATTGGAGGCTTGCCGATACGACTCCCATCTACAAGAAGGGCCGTAAGGAAGATCTGGGGAATTACAGGCCCGTTCAGCTTGACCTCAGTACCAGGGAAAGTTATGGAGCAAATCATCTTGGATGAGATTGCACAGCACATGCATGGTGTCCAGAGGATCAGGCCCCACCAGCACAGGTTCATGAAAGGCAGGTCGTGCTTGACCAACCTCATCTCCTTCTATGACTGGGGATTAGTCTGGTAGACGAGGGGAAGGCTGTTGATGTAGTCTACCTAGACTTCAGCAAAGCCTTTGGCACAGTCTCTCACAGTATTCTCCTGGGGAAACTGGCTGCCCGTGGTCTGAACAGATATACACTTCTTTGGGTAAGGAACTGGCTACAGGGCCGTGCCCAGCGGGTCATGGTGAATGGAGTTAAGCCAGCTGGGAATCCATTAATAGTGGTGTCCCCCAGGGGTCAGTGTGGGGGCCCATCTTATTTAATATCTTTATTGATGACCCAGATGAGGGGATTGAGTGCATCCTCAGTAAGTTTGTAGGTGACACCAAGCTAGGAGGTGGTGTTCATCTTCCTGAGGGTAGGGAGGCCCTACAGAGGGATCTAGATAAGCTGGATCACTGGGCTGAGGTGAATGGGATGAGGTTCAACAAGGCCAAGTGTCGGGTTCTGCACTTTGGGCACAACAACCCCATGCAGCACTACAGGTTTGGGGATGAATGGCTGGATGAGTGTGAAGAGGAAAGGGACCTGTGGGTGTTGGTTGATGCTTGGCTGAACATGAGCCGACAGTATGCCCAGGTGGCCAAGAGGGCCAATGGCATCCTGGCCTGCATTAGAAATAGTGTGGCAAGCAGGAGCAGGAAGGTCATCATCCTTCTGTACTCAGCACAGGTGAGGTTGCACCTTGAGTAGTGTCAGTTTTGGGCCCCTCACCACAAAAAAGACATTGAGGTCCTGGAACGTGTCCAGAGAAGGGCAATGAAACTGGTGAGGGGTCTGGAGCACAAGTCTTATGAGGAGTGGCTGAGGGAGCTGGGATTGTTTAGTCTGGAGAAGAGGAGGCTCAGGGGAGACCTTATTGCACTCTGCAACTTCCTGAAGGGAGGTTGGGGTGAGGAGGGGTTTGGCGTCTTCTTCCGGGCAACAAACAGGACCCGGGGAAATGGCCGCAAGTTGTATCAGAGGAGGTTTAGTTTAGATATAAGGGAGATCTTTTTCTCTCAGAGAGTGGTCAGGCACTGGAATGGCTGCCCAGGGAGGTGGTGGAGTCACCGTCCCTGGCAGTGTTCAAGAGGTGCCTGGGAGAGGAGCTGAGATGTGGTTTAGTGCTTGTGGTAGCAGTGGTAATGGGAGGACGGTTGGACTGGATCATCTTGTAGGTCCTTTCCAACCTTGTGATTCTATGATTCTAAGGTGAATATTTTTTCTTTTAAAATATGGGAAAATTAAGGATTAAGAAATCATCAAGGGGTTAAGAGCAGCACTTAACAATTAGGTGAGTATGTAACTCTCTAGAATAGAATATAGATGCACAATTTACTGTGAGATCCTCATAAATATACACATATAAACATATAAACATATCTAAAATGTTTCAGATTATCAAGACTTGTTCCTTCATTTCACATCACAGTTACAAACAATTTAAAAAACAATGTTCTAGATATTACGCATACATTTATATTTTGAATTTATTTGTTGAAAAATTCATCAAGTGAGATTTAATGTCAGTGTAGACATATATTTTTATACATCTTTGAGAACAAAATCATACTGAAGTTATGAAAATGAAAAGGACATTATGCAAAGTATACCTAAAAATACATTGTCACTAGTAACTTCTGAAAACAAAATTGTCTTGCCCACTGATTTATGGCCTTAACAAGATATTTTGTGAGACTTAGCTAGAAAGCACATAGTTGAATGTAAAGGATGACTGTCTACATATGCTGGGAGAACACCAGTCTAATGATTCTTGAAGATGATGTATGACATTGTGCTGTTTTAATAAGCAAAGTCCGCTGTACTTTAGACTGTCTTGAAATTGATGCTGAGACCCTAAATTAACAAGGAAAAAGCACTGTTGTGTAGCAGTGTTTCTTCCCTCAGCTCAGCCACTTCAGTGCTTCAGAAGTTTTCCTTTGCACAGTTGTCCCTGTTTGTGAATTGAGAGTTCACTGTAGAGTAATGTAATTCTCTGAAGCAGAACACTTAGGAGAGACAGCTGTAATTGCCCAAGGTTTCTGAGGCACTATCAGTATGCCTGTGCTCTTGGTTTGGAGCCACTGCTGCACTGGAAAAACCTTCAGCAAACTCTTCAGTCTATGCTTGTTTGCTTTGTAAGCAGACTCACTATGGCTCTGGCTGTCTTCAGGGGCTTTCCCTTATTATTTATATTTTGTGGTCTTTTTTGGAAATCTGCTGCATTTATCCAGGTTATTGAGTTTCCACTGCCACTGCCAGAGGAAATTTAGTGCAAGTAGCATTACAATTAAGAACTTGTAGTAGTCCTCTCTACAAACGCTTGGGAAGTTCAGCTGTTAACTTCATGGCTCTTACTAATTGCACAGTGCAGCCCCAATACTACTTACAAACATATTAAAAAATAATTAACAGAAACTATCAGGAGACTCCTCAACACTGTTTACTCATAGACTTTCTGTATTTCTCTGACCAAGAACAAAAGCAGATCCTTAGAGCTTTTATTCATTGTTCATTCATATCAGATGTACATGTGGGGAAGAAGTGCTGTGTCACAATAGATTAATGTATATTTATGACAATAATATTTAAAGTAATAATATAGTATAATAGTATAATAGCATTTCTTTTCCAGTGGATTTACATGTTAACTTTTACTCTACATTGCTGTCTCTTCTTGCCTACTCAAGGGATTGGTGCACTATACAGGAGATGAAATTTTAAACTGTTCCAACAGTACAAAGCTAAATGGGTAGGAAGAGATGCTTGTCTTTGTAAACTGATCTTTAAGTCACTGTTCTTGGGGATACAGTGATGTCCCTTGCCCTGTGTGTTAGACAGCAGCAGCAGCATTGGCATTTGGGATGACATTTTATATTTTTTATTTTTTGATAGAATGTTTTATTTGCTACTGTAAAAATGATTGGATCAAGGCAACTGTTGATGCTGCAGATGATCTCTGTGATTTGAAAAACTACCATTAATCTACTTATGCTCTCAGAGGATGGTTGACAACAGGTTTTGTAAATTATCATCACCATCATTGTAATGTGATACGGTGTGAAAGACACAGCAAATACAATCATAGCAGCTGAAATCAGTAAAAGAGGTCTAATAATTCTATTTCTTCTTTGCTGACGTTTACAGAGTTGTAGTAGTGCTTTGAGAGTCAACATATAGCATGTAAAGATGACTGTGACTGGAATTAGAAACCTCAATATAATTTTGGAGAGTATGAATGGAACTTCAAATTGTAAGGATTTTCCAATGTCATCTTGGGAACTTGTGTTGTGCTGTCTTCCAGCTTCAATTGTGCAGAAGATCTCTGGCACTGATGCAAGAACTATGAAGATCCATACAGCAGCAGTACAAAACATGGCCTTTCCTTTGTTCCACCATGTTAATGAAGAGATAGGATGGACAGCACCTAAGTATCTATCAAAACTGATGAGTGTTAAGAAGTAGACACTTCCATATATATTAATGCTAAAAAATAGTCTTATGATGTAAAAAAATGTTTGATTCATATAGTTTTCTGACTTCTGGAGACTATGATATACTGAAAAAGGTGCCATAAGAATCCAAGTGAGGTCACACAATGCCAAATTAACTAGAAATATGCTGTTAGTATTCCAGGTCTTCACGCAGTACACATAATGTCGAAGGGCAAGTATGTTGCCTAGAAATCCCACTATCAAAGTGAAAAGGCTAACCAGAATCAGCAAATAGCAGTACCACTCCAGCTTAGGATGGTTGTTGCAAATGAAAATAATGCATGTATCATTTGTCATCTTTCCATGGAATGGGCCTGAAGGGGAAAAACAGACCAACAAATTTAAAATAATATCTAAATATACTGAATTGACAATTAAAAACTTTTTAGTTAAATCCATCGTGTTTAAACCGGTGAAAGAATTCAGAACATGGGATGTACAAGTTCTCCTCTGTCTGAAAAAAATGCAAATTCCAAATAGACATCACTTAAAGCTTACTATACAGCAATGCCATCAAAGGCAGAGCTTCATGAACCTTCTTAAAAACCCTTGTATTATGCCCTAATATTTATTGTAGTGCACAACACATGAGAGAAAAAAGGCATGCACCCTTAATAACAGCAGATTCCCTTTGCTGACTAATACATCTGTGTCTAGCTTTGCAGAAAGCAGAGAGAAAAGCAGAAGGATAATAAATGGCCACGCTCACTCCACCCTTGCAGTGACTGGCTTGGGTACCTGTACTGGGCCTAGAGGCATTTGTAATGTGGGTAGCTGTGCAGTGGGCTGTGGCTGAGGTCCAGAAGAAAGTATTAAAAAAAATGAGGTTGTGCTGAAGGCAACACCAACATCTATATCCAAAGCAGTGAACAAAATGCCTGTTTGCTATTGTATGCATGATTTTTGTTGGCATTCTTCTCTAAACAGATGTTCGAGGCCAAAACCATTGTGGTTTTGATAGGGATAGAAAGAGTTCATTTTGTCTCAGTCGTTATTGCCCAGAATCTATCAGCACCTGTTATGGATAATTTGGAATATAGATCTGCAGTATGTTTTTCAAAGCAAGGTTTTCATGCTTGCAGACTCATTTTTAGTCCTATAGATTTTGAACTCCTAATTAAAAACAAAAATGAAAACAACACAAAACCAAGGCTGGAGTGTTTTACCAGGGTGAACTGTCACCAAATTCATTGTCATGTTTCTAGAACCTCTCTCCAAATGATGAAAGAGAACAGATTGCCCAGAGAGGCTGTGGATGCCTCATCCCTGGAGGCATTCAGGACCAGGTTGGATGGAACCGTGGGCAGCCTGATCTGATGGATCGCAGACCCACCGACAACAGGGGAGTTAGAACTAGATGGTCTTCAAGGTCCCATTCAAACCCAAGCCATTCTGTGATTCAATGATTCTGTAACTCAGTGATTCTATTTTAATCTGCAAGGTCTGTCCACGTTAGAACTTTGTATTAGGGTCATAAAAACAGCCATTTAGAAATCAGAATCCACTACTGCACTTGATAGGAAAGCGGGATAAAATTTTACTCAGCATTTACTCACTTTACATAGAAGGAAGAGCTCTTTTCCATAATGTTACTGATTACTCAATGATTTTTGAACTTCTTCAACTGTTAGGCTGATAGTAGTGCTTTTTTGGAACGTGGTCTTTTGCTTTTGTACCTTCCTTAATATTGCTTTTCTGAAGGTATGTCCACAGACATAGCTCAGAGCATAGCAAGTAAGAGCTATGAGCTGCTAATTAAAAACTGCATTATTTTGCTTTACAAATTTATGGCTCACCCAGATAATGTACTTAGGAAAAGTTAGTTCAAACTGTACTGAATAACATTACAAAGGAAAGTTGTTTCTGTACAAGTTCAGCAACAAAAGCAGTTAAATGGCTTTCCAGAAACGTTGAAAGCCATGTGGTGAACTTTTGGTGTTTTTAAGAGATTGGAAATATTTGTTATTTAAATGTATATTGTTAAGTATTGAAGCACTGTACTTTAACCTGGGGTAACAGTATTCTTTCTCTATATTTCTCCATGGTCTTTATGGATATCGAATTTTATATAATGTTCTTCTTCAACCAACATTTATAAGGTGAAAACATAAATTCTTTAAAATGTAGCCATCCTAATGATACAATACCATTAAGTAACATTTGCTTTACAGCGTGTTCAGTTAAAAGGAGTTTTAATATGTATAGGAAAGTTATATTTTCCTATAATCATCTTGGCTAAATCTCACTTGTACTTTGAATTAAGTTGTATTTCCTACCTCTCTGCCTTCTTTTTAAATAATTATGAATGAAGGCACTAAGCACTTGATTCTAATTATGGTGGTAGCACAAATAAGCCCTAAACTGCCTACAAAAAACATGTCTGTAGCTGCAGAAGGCAACTGTAATGCCAGGGATTCCTGATATCATCAAGCTCCTGGAAGAGCTTGAGAGAGAGAGGTAGGTCTCTTCCAGAGATGCTTGAGGAGAGTTATCAGTCTTAATTGGAGAGACAGCTGTGCCATCTCATCCATTTTGCTGTAAGTTGACTATATGTATACCCTTCTGTTAAGGCAGTTACAGACTGGAACTAAGAAATCCCCTATCCTCTTCATCACCTTGAGTTTACTAGACTATGCTCTGACTTGACCTACACGGAGTAAGTTATCTGGAGGTTCTGGAGCTGCATATCTTGGTAAAATGAATTTGGAGATCAAAGTCACATTAGGAAGTATGATTGCATTTTTCTGTGTTTCCCATGCTCTTTGAAATTCCCTTGCAGGTGTTTTCCTGGAATTCTATGAACCCTGGTGTTCATATTTGGATTTTCTAAAATATTCTCACTGTTTCTTATCTATTCATTGTATTATAGTAGGGCTTAGAGGCCATAACCAAGACCCGATTTTTGAAACACTGTGCACTGCAATTGGGGTGAATGACTTACAATCTATCAAACAGGATGGACACAGTCAAAGAGGTCCAAATTAAAAAAGAATGTCTTCCAAGATACTGTAATAAGCAAGAGAAAGGCACAAGCAATTTGACTCTCAGTGCTACAGTAAGACCTCCTGGTCTTCCATTAGAAGAATGTAAGGAATTCTCTACAAGCAAAACCCAGTCTCACTGTATGTGCAAAGACATCATCACCGTGCCCTGCTGTATCCTGCGGCCATTGGAGCTATGCTGATGCCCAGTAGATCTGCATGTGTGCTGTAATAAGTTTCAGGGATGCCTTTTTTTTTATATATATATGAGACAATGGCAAGTTTTCTGCCAGTTAGTACACTGTGCTAATAATACTCAGTTCCTTTCTTCCTAATGGCTCAGTCTATACTGTGATTAAGCCACTATTTCTTTCATTAAGAAATGATGTTCATTTACTTAGAATTAATGAAAGCACATATAGCAAGTGAACTATGGTAAAGGGATATTTAAGGCTTAAAAAATTGCCTACCAAAGACAACAGTTATTAAAAAATACTTTAAATAATATGAAATGTATACATGTTTGTATGTACTAATCAGAATGTAGTAGCTAAGTACAAAAAAAAATGTTACTGTGGAGAATACAGGTGGGATAAATACTTAATCAATTTTTCTCTTACCTGTTTTAGAAATGTTGCTGTCATCTATTTTACTGAAGTCTAGATTCCATGCTGTGCTTTTCTTCTCCATTAATCTTGATCTTCTAGAATTGCAATTCTATTTTGCAAATACTGCTTTTAATCCAAGGTGTTGGTAATATTCCATAGACAGTGGCAGCTATTCAGAGAGCATTTGTCAAACTGCAAGAGAGAGAACTTTTATCATGATGCCCCTCCTCTCAGTCAGGCTATATTGCTACTTAACATAGCAGGCTCCACTTGTTTTTCAGGGAAAAACAGACTCACTACAAATCCACAGTCTAGGTCTTTCTGGGGCTTTCATTGGTTCTAGCATGAAAGAAAAGGGTGGAGGGGTGTGGGGCATGTGTGTACCTTTGTACTTCCCTCCCCCCTTCTTCCATGCAAGAATTGCTGCCCCACTACAGAAATGGGCAGCTCTCACCCCACCGCAGAGCCTGTACAGGAAAGGAATGGGCTGGATGAGACTGAGAGGCTCCGGAGAGGGAAGGTGCAATGGGAGTAGACATAAAGACGGACTGGAAACTGTGTAGAATGAACTTACTTGCACAAGTGGGCTGCAGGAAACCTAAAGAAGTGAAAAACTGCTGTGTTAATTGGCAGTGAAGGAGGACTGAGAGAATAAAAATGAGAGGAGAAGAAAGAAAAGGAAAGCTAACTCAGGAAAAATATGTTCCTGAAGAAAACAAGACAAAAGATTCACCTGTCCAGTGATGAGATGAGAGTAAGCAGAGCTTTTTTTCAAGCAATAAGGCATACCTGTGTGCTTTGCAGAATGCATTTGTTGCAGAATGAAAAGTGAAGTACATCATATGACTGAAGCACCTGCGTTTAGGTACTTGCACACTCCTGTTTATGTAATTAATTACTGAAAATAAATAACAAAAGTTGGAACCATTAAAATCCAATATAAACTATGAAAAGCAGGATAAGAAGAGTACTGTACTGCAGTAAGACTTCATTGAGAGGACAAGAAAATCAGTCTTGCTCTGACAAAACTGTAATAATACATTTGTGAAATGATGAGAGCATTACTACGAGAGACAGTCAGCTCAAACACTCCAGGGAGCAGATTGTTCTCTGTATTGCAGTGACAACATTTGGTGTACAGTTTTGGCTAAGAAATGAATAATAATTACACTGTAAGTATGGCTGTAGGCTCTGCTCTGTTTTGTGATATGGTTCTTTTATGTTACCATTCACAGACTTAATCATTTTGGTACCTTGTTGTGGTACCATGTAGCAAAAGTCAACAGTGTAAGAGAGGACAATACTATCTTCCACTTGAGCTCATAGTAAAAGATTTGTTTGTAAAATGATGAGAAAGTAGAATTTGGATTCTAAATCTGATGGCAGTCGCCTAGTGTGTTTCACTGGTGAGGTCATTCCACCTGAACAGCCGTATTATTGAGGTCTAAACCCTTCAATGTACTTCTAGAAACCCAGACTTTTTCAGCGCTGCCATTAAATGGTGGCAGTACTCACAAAACAGGGGAACAGTAGGTTTGCACAGGATAATCTCAACTTTATTGCAAGGAGGGTTGATGATTTACTTATTTATTAACTGTATGTTTTTGTGTACTTTTGGGCTTAAGTAAGAGCTGTCTTTGACTCAAGAGATGGCTTTTCTTATGGTATCTGTAGAATCCCTTTAGTCCAGGCATTTTCTTTAATTCTTAAGTGACCCTGCAGTCATCTGCTCAGAAAATTTCTTCTTCTCATGAGTCAAATGTCCTGTGCTTTTCATGAGCTAGACCAACACATATGATGATTTATCTATTATCATGTCATTACATTGAACCCAACTTTGTCCCTAGTCAGTGGAACAAGAGAGGCAACCATCAAAATCTGACTGTTCCTACTGCTCAAGAAACATCTCGCAGCCTGAAGTTCTTATGAAGCCTCCCAGTTTGTAGACTTGTTTCTCAGAACGCTGAGCAAATGCCACAAAAGATGTCTCTTACATTGACTTCTAGACTAATTCCATGAGATTTTTCTGGCTGTGGTGTTTGTTTTAGAAAGATGGGATGCAGCAGTTTCTAGAAAGTGGGATGGCTTACTTTACACGTTTGCCCTTCATGACCATCACTCCTTCCCACTTCTGCACAGATTTACAGCACTGCTATTCAATGAGTCTCAGTGTCAGCGGGTTGATGGAACTAATTCAGCTAGAAGAAAAAGATGGAATTATCGTTTTTTCTAGACTACTCTTGTTCACTTGTGCATACCTGCTCTGCCAGCATGAGAGTAGGCTGGGTACGGGTGTTAATGACTAGAGCAGGGAAATAATGAAGGCTGCTTAACCAGCATGTAGGATTGCATATAGTATATATAAAACCACAGCCACTTTTCAGTCAGGTGCCACAGGGATGATATGAACTGAACTCCTTCAGAGGTCCAGTTTAATGATTTAGTCTCTAGAATCAGAATCTAAATTGGTTTGTCACCAAATCGGTTTGTGGGAAACAATCTTGTGGCTTTGTAGGAAAAATCTGTGTTCATGGCTGAACTGAAAAAGACAAATGTGGCTGCCTGATGCTAAACCTGTCACCTGTCCTCCCCACACAAACTGGAATTATTGGATGTAACAAGAAATTCACTTTAGTACACTATTTTGTTTTGTTGTTGTTGTTGTTGTTTTCTTTTTTGTTATCATCTAAACACATATTTACTGACTGACTAAAATATGGTTTCTCATAATATCCATACCACAGGTCAGTTGCTCCGTCTGAAAATGTTTCGAGAGGACCACGGGTCTTGGATGACAATGTTCTTCAGTACCATCCTCTTCCTCTTCATTTTCTCTCACATTTATAATCTATTCCTCATTATGGCAGGGAATATGAGGTAGGTTACAAAGTTTTTTTTTCTGTTTGTTTTGCTCTAGAATATATTTCACGGGAAAATTTTCATATTACGCTGCTTAAGAGTGACCAAGAACTTACAAAAATGTAAATGCAGTAGTATTCACGAGCATTTTTTTCTGGAACACTTCTTTCTGAATGTAGGTAGAATAGTAATGTAATAGGTTAATTTGCCAGGAAGATTACAATTTCAGTTAGAAGAAGTGGAGTCCTAGCCTAATAACAACAGGGTATCCATGAACATTATGTAGAATTGCTTTGATTTGAAAGTATAGGTCAGGAAATTTGAAGTTAGGACTTAGTAAATTAGAAGTGTAAACATTACTTTTGTGTGGAATCAGAAAATTCAGAGGTAAAATTAAGAGAAATTGAAACATTCAAATTTGATTGAAATTAGAGACACGCTCCAAACATTAAATATGTAATGTGATGCTGTTTTGATTGCACAAAATAATGCTTTCTTATCTGGATTGTTTAAAAGATTCTTAAAAATCTGATTTTTAATTTGTTTTTTAACTCATGAGGTGCTCCAACAGGGTAACATTAAGGCTGACATATGAACAGCTGTCTGTCTGTTCTGTTTGGATTCATTTCAATTTGAGCTTTTAATTTGAACTTTTTGGTTTAAGAAAACTTGCTTTTTCTTGTACTCAAAATCATTTCGATTTTTGTGAGAAAACTTGTATCATTAGTCAGGCAAAATTAATTAATTAGACAGAGCTCATTAGATGTGTTGTTTATGAAAAGCAAGATAGCATCTGAGGAGTTTTTTGCAAGAAATAAGAAACTCCAAGTATATTTGAGTTGAAGAGCAGTGTCAAATAGTTGAATGACTTGTTCTTAAAAAAATGTCAGCTGTAAGTCGACAGAATCTGATACAGTATTATTTAATGGACTTTTATGTCTGTCAACAAAAATACACAGTGTATGGAGTTCTCTGAACAATGAGACATAAAACAAACATTGATTGGGTGTTACTGAATGAACTTGAATGGAGACCAGCTGCGGTAATCGTGGGGTATGAGGACTAATTGTATTGATTCAAGCAAGGTGAATAAAGCAACAGAATCACTCAGTATTTTAGGAGAAGAAATGATCAGGAAATGATGTGGTAAATATGAATAGGTTCCTAATAATAGGCAGAATAATCCTGCCTGCAATGGAGAGGGTGGAGCATTCCAGCTTTCTTCCTTCCCTATTTACACAGTCTATTATTGGTACTATGTTAAGATTTATATTTGGTATTGCGAAAGCTCCAGGAGCTATAGCTGGCTATTAATCAAAGCATTAACTGCTTTGAAAGCTTGGCTCATATCTGGAAACCGGAGTTCATTTGTCCTTGTCAACATTCCTGTTCCTCCTATCTGTTACACACTTCCATTAGCTGCACTGAGAAGATTGTGTGGCAGTCGTTGTCCGAGTTCATGGAAATAGACAGAATCTATTACAAAAATGGCTGGTGTCAGTTGATCTACTCTCTCACTGAGAAGTCTCTCCTTGACTGGAACTGATGCTAGCTTCAGGTTTGTCATGATCATTTCTGGAAACTGACTGTGCTGCTCTAAGAAATCACCCTGACTTTCCAACATGTGATAAAGGCTTGGTAAAGCTGTTTTAGGTGTACATTCCGGTAAAAAGGCATTGAGCGGGTAAGGAACAAAATGTTTCAGTTTCAAACTGCACAACTTAAAGCATCAGTTAAACTGAGCTGTCCTCTCAAAGTCAAGGTAGAACAATGTCAGTACTTTTGAAAAGCATTTCTTCAACAAATGGCAAACATTGTCAAAACCAAATACTTCACTTTGATATAATAAAATGTTTTAAAGCGTGGATTATCTTTCCTGAGTAAACATAATACTCATGAAACCCATTTAATGGTACTTCTGTCTATGTGTTTTGACACAGTGCCTTACTGAAATGGCTGGTATCAGAGAAACTGGTTTCCAAAAGGAAGGTCAGAGTCCACCTGCTGCATGAAGGTTACAGTCTCTGTAGAGACCAGCAGGTCCCACACCTATGAGATTCTGTGAAACGCAGGCACACACAGAATATGTATCATTTTAATACAAGACCTGTAAAAGACTTAAAATTACTTTCCTTGAAATTGAGGAGAAAAAAAAAGAGAACGATTCTTAGTGTATTTGCTCCTTGCTGTGTCTCTTGTTCAGCTTGCCCTGTCTGCTGCCAAGAGAGTGATTCTGAAGAATACCTATATGTCAGGCATTTGGTATTATTAATGAAAATTCCTCTGTGGCTCGTGAGTAGGAGAATCCTATGTCTTGCATGTGTGTGCCTGTGTAGATGATCACAGCAGAAGTAATATCCTGCTGAGGACTTGAGAAACCAATGCCAGGAGTGCTTTCTATGTTA